CGGCGGCGGCGGGCTGCGAGTGCTCGCGCCCCCTCGCCCCGGCTAGCACGCCGGGCCGCTCACACGCTCTCTGCGTCTCAGCCACGCGCCTCTGCGTCGGCCGTCCCGCCCACGAACTTCGTCCTCTTCTCCGCAGGGTCACTTGTACCTACTGGTCACTGACCAGGGCTTTCTGCAGGAGGAGCAGGTGGTGTGGGAGAGCCTGCACAACGTCGACGGAGACAGCTGCTTCTGCGACTCGGACTTCCACCTGAGTCATTCCTTCGGCAAGGGGCCTGGAGCAGGAGGTGCGAGGGGCTCCCCCGAGAAGCGGCGGCAGGTCGACCAGGTGTGTGGGCTCTTTGGGAAGGGTGCGGAGAGCCCATGTGCGCACGAGCTCTTCGCCGTAGGCGAGTGACATGCGTTTCCTCACGTAGACATCATGAGCCACGACGCCCCCTTACCGCCACCTCCGGGCCGCCTCCGAGCCTGGAGTGTGTTCTCGGTCACCACCGAGTGTACTCGGCTGTGTGTTTTGCTCTGGAGGAGGAGCTGGTGAATTTGAAGGAGAAGAAAGATGGGTTTGGAAACCTAGAGCCAGCCTGAATGTGCCCCAGGCCCCGGCGACCTCACTGCTCCCGATCTCTCGGCCCCTCTCTAGGACTACCTGATCGCCTTGTCCCTGCAGCACCAGCCGCAGGACACGGTGGGTCTTAGCGACTTGGAGCTGGCCCGGCAGCTTCAGCAGGAGGAGTACCGGCAGCAGCAAGCAGGCCCCCCGGCGCCAGTGCGGGCCTCGCCCCAGGTGAGCGGCTCGCCGCCCTGCCCGCCTGCCCGCCTGCCCGCCTGCCCGCCTGCCCGGGGGCCCTGAGCTCCGCCCTGCTCGTCCTCGTGATTCCTGCCCTCGTCTCTTCAAGGTGCTCCTCTCCCCTGGGTCCCATCTTCTCCCCCCAGCCCCCCCGCCCCTCCTGCTCCTGCCCCCACGTCCTTCTAGAACCTCTGTCCTTGTGCTCTTCCGGGCTGACGAGTGACCCACTGTTAAATCCCATGCAGGGGAGAGGAGCCACGTCTGGACGCCCAGTCGGGGAGCGTCGGCAGAGGCCGAAGCAAGACTCAGACTGTGTCGTCCTGTAGCTTTGCCCAGTGCTGGGGCTGCCCTCCCTCTTTCCGAGGTGATGGCTATTCTACTTGCTCCCCCAGCTCAACCCCTGAGATATGCAGGGTAACGTATTTATGGACGTGGGGGATCAGAGCAGGCAGTAAATGCCAAGGTCAGACTCCGTAACATCCTGCCCTCGTGTACTGCCGCCTTCTCTGCCTCCCAGTCGTCCAGGGCAACTTTGGGGTTGGTGGGGTGAGGATTTCTGGTTCCCAGCGCCCCTGCCCCAGAACAGTCACACTCATATATGGACTCAGGCTCCAGGATGAGGTCCCTGTCTAGAATGCCTCTCGCCTACTTCCACCCCCGACTGGCTGGGCCCTTCCTGGCCATCCTGCTGGCCTGTCTCCAATTGTTTCAGGGTTTGGTTTGGGTTTCTATCTCCATTATTTGTAATGGCTTTCCTAGGGGTTTGGAAATAAAACTTCTTTCCTGAGATCTGTTGTTTGCCTTGCTCTGCCGCACTTGGGGTTCAGTATTTGCCCCAATTAGGGAACACAAAAAGGTGGGGGAGGTTATAGAGGCCCGGAGGGTGACTTTGCTTGTCATTTCTAATAGGGCCAGCAGAGGGAACCAAAGCCTGCTTATTTTCTTTTCTGTCTGTATTAGTTTTGTTTTTTTTTTAAAGACTCTCTTTTTTTTTTTTTTTTTTAAAGATTTTATGTATTTATTTGACAGAGAGAGAGATAGCAAGAGCAGGAACACAAGCAGGGGGAGCGGGAGAGGGAGAAG